TCTTTTCAAGCTTGGAGGAAACTTTCACTAAGATACACCATAAAACATAGCTTCACAAATTCAAAAAGTAGAGATCACAATGACTGCTCTCATACCACATGGAATCAAACTGGAAATCAGTAATAGAAAGTTAACTGAATTTTAAAAATATATGGAGATCAAACAGTACACTTATAAAATGCACATTTTATAAATTACCCAAAGAAGTAATTTCAAGAAATTTCCTAAAACAACATACCTGTAATTGTAACAACTCAAGAGATTGAAGCAGGAGTATTTCAAGTTCAAGGCCAGCCTGGGCCACTTAGCCAGATACTGTTTCAATAAAAGGGGGGGGGGGGGGGCCCAGGATGTTGCTCATTGGTAGTATCCCCTGGAATCAATCCCAATTACCAGAAAAAGAAAAAGCCCATGATGTCAGAATGCAGCAAAAGCAGTTCTTAGAAGAAAACTTTGGAATTCTGAATTGAATGCGAATATTACAGAAGAAGAAAAATCTAATGAAACTAAGTTTTCGTCTTAAACTATGAAACAGAGCTAATTAAATTCAAAGTAAGCAGAAGAACTGAATGAAATTGAAAACAGGAACTCAATAGATTTTTTTTTAAAAGTGTTTCATTGAAAATATCACTAACAGCAGTAAGCCTCTAAGCATGCTACCATGAAGAGAGGGTACAGGTCTAATATAAATACAAGAAATACTTGATGATAGATCTCGTGAACATGAAAAAGATGATGAAAGAATATTGTGAACAATTCAGTATCCACGTATTTGATAACATGGATGAAATGGAGCAATTCCTTGAAAGACACAATCTTCCAGATCTCACACAAAAAATAAATAGAAAATATCAATAGGCCTATAAAAATATGTTTAATTGAATAAAAAATTGAATCAGTAAACTTCCAAAACACAAACCACCAGACCTAGATTGGTTAATTGATAAATCCTACCAAGTTGTCAAGGAAGGAATTATTTGAATTCTCTACAATCCTTTTCAGAGGATAGAAGCAGAAGGAGTGCTTTTTCATTTATCCTGTGAATTCAGCATTACCCTGATTCCAAAGTCAGACAAAGACCCTATAAGTAAAGAAAGCTATAGACCAGTATCTCATATGAATATTGATGAAAAAAATCTCAAAAATATTAGCATTCTGGGGCTGGGGTTGTGGCTCAGTGGTAAAGCACTTGCCTTGCAAGTGTGAGGCACTGGGTTAGATCCTCAGCACCACATAAAAATATGAAATAAAGGTATTGTGTCCAGCTACAACTAAACATTTAAAAAAATTAGCATTCTGCATTATGTTCAAAGGATTATATGCCATGACCAAGTGGGATTAGCTCCTGAAATGGAAGGATTTTTCAACATATGAAAATCTGCCAATAATACATCACATAAATCAACTAAAGAAATATACCATGAATATCTCAATTGATGAAGAAAAGGCATGGGACAAAATGCAACTTCTTCTCATTATACAAACACTGGAGAAATCAGGAAGGGAAAGAACCGAAAGTATTATCAAAACCGTGTATATGAAAAGCCACACCAAACATCTTACTCAGTGGTAAAATGTTTGAAGTGGTAAGAGGCTGGAAGTCTGTTCTCTAATATCAAGAGCAAGGAAAGGATATCTATTTTTCTATTTTTATTTAACATAGAACTGAAAGGTTTAGTGAAGCAGTTAGGTAAGAAAAAATGGATGTTACAAAATGAAGGTCACCATTTTAATAGGCTAGAGCATTCATCTGGAGCATACTAGGCTCTAAGTAGACATCTCCTTCATGCATGTGGGTGTCAGAAAATGAAAATTGTGCCTGAAATCATGGACTTATGCCAAGTCAATTCAGTTTTGTTATATTTTCAATCTGAGGCTATGAATGTGTTTTCTAAATAATTGTATTATTCAGAGACAAATAAAAGTAGAATACGTTTGGTGCAATGACGGATAATGTTTTCATAATGTTGGGGCAAGGATTATGAAAGGTCTTCCTTATGCCCCTGTGCCCCAGCTATTCAGTCACCCTCTCTGGAGGCCACTTTTGTTTCCAGTTCTTTCGTACCTTTTGTGGTATATTTGTGTATGTACGCAAAAAGACAAGTTGTTATAGTTTGGGTGTGAGGTGTCCCTCAAAAGCTCATGTGTGGGACGATGCAAGAAGGTTCAGAGGAGAAATGATTGGGTTATAAGAGCCTTAACCCAATCAGTGAGTTAATCCCCTGATGGGATTACTGAGTGGAGACTGAAGGTGGTGTGGCTGGACGAGGAGGTCTTTGAGGGCGTGGTTTTGGGGTATCTCTCTCTCCCTCTCTCCCTCTCTCCCTCTCTCCCTCCCTCCCCTTGCTGATCATCATGTGAGCTGCTTCCCTCTTCCACACTCTTCTGTCATGAACCTCGAGGAGTGCAGCTTGCTGCCTATGGATTGAGACCTCTCAAACTGTGAGACCTCAAATAAGCTTCTCCTCCTGCATGGAGCAGGTTCCAGGGGAACCTGACCCTGTTCCATCTCTGGTCAGTTCCTCTAGTCAGAGCAGGGGAAAAGCTGACTAAAACACAAGGATTCATTTTTTCTGCTTACACCAAGTTGATAGCTAAGAGTAAATCTAGGATTTAGTGACTGCGTTTTCATAAAAGTTTTTTGTAACAGATTTTTGAGTGTTAGTCAGGTTTTCATTTTTGTGACCAGAATACGTGAAAAGAACAATTTATAGGAAGAGAAGTTTACTTTGGCTCATGGTTTCCAAGGTTCAGTACACCATAAACCGACTTCGGCTCTGGGCCCAAGATAAGGCAGAACATGGTGACAGAAGGACATGGCAGAGATGCTCCACTGAGGGCAGTCAGAAAGTAGAGAGAGGAGAGGTGAAGGCACAGGGACAATATATGAATCCCAAGAGCTTCCCCCAGTGACCTATTTCCTCCAGCCACACCCTACCTGCCTACAGTTATCCCCCCAAGTTATCATCAGTCCATCAAATCAGATTAAATTATTCAGATTAAATAATTAATTATCATCAAATGAATTAATCCACCGATGAGTTTACAACTCTCATAATCTAATCACAAACTCTCAGGGGATTCTTCATATCCACACCATAATATTCCACCCTATCCTCCCAAAGCCCATGCCCATCACATAATGCAAAACACATTTCGTCCATTTCCAAGAGCCCCATAGTCTAAATAGTTCCAGCATTGCCCAAAAGTCCAAGTCCAAAGTCTCCTGAGACTCAAGGTATATTCTTGACTGTGAATTCATGTAAAACTCAAAAGCAAGTTACATAGATCCACTCCATGCTGTCACAGAGTAAACATTCTCATTTCAAAATGAAGGAACAGGGACAGGAAGAATGGGACCAAGTCAGTACTGAAACCCAGATACCATGTCTGGCATCTAGGGCACATGGTGGTATATGTCCCATCTAAAGGATTTGGGCAGCCCCACCCCTTTGGTCCTGCCAGGTGCGGCCCACACGGTGTCTCTCTTAGACAGGCTCTGTCTGTGGCCAGTGTCATTCCTCAATAGTCATTCCATGTTATGGGCGTCTCTTGATCCCAGTAGAAGCCACTGTACCTTCCGTTTTCTTTCTGCATCTTCACACATCACCCTCTCAGGGGCTGCCTGCAGGGAACCTGACCCTGTTCCACGCTCTACGACCCTGCACTCCTGCAGAACCAGCACCATATGATGATACCAACATCTACTGCCAACTCAAGCAGTAGCCTTGCCCTCTTGGACCATGACAGCTGTGGCTTCTAAGTGCCTGAGTGGCTAAGCTGTTCTCCCGGGAAAACAGCTTCTTAGGCACCCCTATGTGAGCAGGGTGCCCCCAGGCTCTCTTCTCAAAGAAGTCTTCATTTTCATGTTCTTGAGCCTACCATTGGTGTGGTCTTGCCAATTCCTGAGATATTCCCAAGACACCTTCTCTGTTGTCTCTGTGCGAAGTACTTGTCTCTAGTGGTGGTCATCTCATCAGCCACCACAACTTCTGTGGCTCCAGTTTTATATGCTCTTTTCTGGCCAAATTGCAATTTTAAAAAATCTCTCTCCTCTGCTTTCTGCTCCAAATTCTTAGAGTAACTGGGATAATAAGCCAGAGCGATACCTATGCCAGTGCCCGAATGATATGCTGCCTTGAAATTCCCCTCCAGATTGGTCAGTCCGTCACCTTTAAACTCAGCCTCACAGGAAGTCTCAGGACAAAAATGTACACCAGTTGGCCAGAATGTGACAGGAATGGCCTCAGTTTTCAATACTTCCTGAGCCTCTCAAATGTCAAGAACACAGTCTTCACTGTCTGCATTGTCTCTCAGCATTCTGCTTTTCTGAGTCCCACCAGAATCACTCGTTAAGCTCTGCTTAGAAAATTCTAGGGCTTCTCCTGCCTGCATCTCCAAACTTTTCCAACCTCCTCCTGAAAACTGGTTCCAAAGGCTTCGAAACACATGCAACAACCTCATTGCTCAGTACCAGTTTCCATGTGAGGTAGCTTTGTGTTGTCATGACCAAGATATCTGACAAGAATGACCTAGAGAAGGCGAAGTTTGCTTTGTCTCACAGTTTCAGAGGTTCATCCCATGGTTGACCAACTCCATAGCTTTGGTCCCAGGCTGAGGCAGAATACCATGGTGGGAGGGCAAAGCAGAGGAAAGTGTTCAGTTCAGGGAAGCCAGGAAGCAGAAAGTGACTCACCAGGGACAAAATATGAACCCCAAAGGCACAAGCCCAGTGGCGCACATCCCCCAGCCACACCCTACTGCCTACAGCTCTCACCAGTACAGCAGTCCTTTCAAATTATTGACCCATCAGATCGATTCTCCACTAACTAGGATATAGGTCTCCTGGTCATTTTACTTCTGAGCATTTATGAATTGTCTCAGACGAACGTTTCTGAGGGATTCCCTCATATCCAAACCATACCAAGCTCTGTGTCATGCCTATCCCACTGTATCAGGGTTATTCAATCTGAAATTGCACTTGACAATTTAAAAATTAATTTATCTCTTCCTCCCATCTCTCCCCACTTCAGTATGCCCAGATCTTAAGAGAAAGACTAAGAGATTCTTTTCATGATGTTCAATATGTGGAACCGCCGTTTGATGACTCTATCGCTGATATAGGTAAAGAATGGAAGAGTGCCCTGGCAAAATTAAAGTTTGCTAATTCATATAGAATGGAGCCACTGAAGAAGTTCCAAGCTCATTCAGTAGAAACCAAAGTCCAGCAAATATTAATGGTAGGTTGGGGGTAGGTATAGTTTAGTCAAAGAACACTTGCCCGGTGTGCCCTTGGTTCAATCCCCAGCACCACAAAATAATCAAATAAGGATAAGTTGATAGATATATACAATAGTAGTATTTTATTAGGATTTTCCAGAAAAACTCTGTGTGTGTGTGTGTGTGTGTGTGAATTTATTATGGGAATTAGCTCATGGAGCTACAGAGGTCCAAAGGTCCCAACTCTGCTGAGTGTAAGCTGGAGAACCAGGGAACCTGGTGGCGTACTTCAGTTTGAATCCAATGGCCTGAGAGCCAGAGGAGCTGATGGCCCGACTCCCAGTCCCAGTCCAAGAACCTGGAGCAGCAGTGTCCAGCTCAGGCAGAGAGAAGTCAGCCTTCCTCCCTCCCTCACCTTGTTCAGCCCTAAACAGAGGACGACACTCACTCACATTGGTGAGGGTCATCTTATTTATTCAGTCAATTAATACATGAGTTTGCAATCTCTGGAAGCTTCCTTACAGACACAACCAGACATAACTTAACAGCGTTGGAGCTTAGCCCAGTCGAGTGGACACCTAAAACACAAGTCTACTTGTCAAGTGAGCATCCGTACAAATCTCCTTAAAACAAAGCCTATCCAGAGATGATCACAGTGTCAAAACTACCTAATGTGAAACAAAGAACCTGTATACAACTGAACATCCAATGATTTCTTCCCCAGGATAGGAGAAAGGTTCTTGAGTGGGGTTCACACTTTTCTTATCCTGTAACTTAAATACTGTGATGTAAAATCAGCAATAATTTCATACTAATGAGAGTCAGTGTATTCCATGTTACATGACAAGGGAATGTGACAGGAAAGAAAATAAATACACTTCTTGTTAATGTCTGTCCACACACATTCAGGAAGGGGGAAGTGCTCATGGCAGTTAGGGGCTTAGCTCTGTAACTGGTGCGTGGTGATAGCTGGTGTTCATAGCTACCTTCTGCCTCCACTTGTTACCCCTGCCTTCAGCAGGCCCCTCAGCTGGCCCTGGTTCTTCACCTGGCAGAGTTACCCAAGCCTTCATTCCTGAGGAATCTGGGCCATGTTCAGTTCTGTGTGAATTGTGCTGTTAGAGTTCTCCATGGACCTGATCACAGGACACCAGTTCGACTACCACACACTGAAGTGTCTCCTGTATTCCAGACATATTCCCCTTTCCTCTGTTGTAGAGGGGCCGTTCCCTCTGCAGTTTAGGATCAATCACCCCAGTCGATACCGTAGCTCCTCCATCTTTGCCTGTTCACCCAGAGGCATGAAGAGCCCAAAGTGTTCAAGCAGCATACCTTCCAGTTCATAGCTTCCAATCTAACGGAATCATGCTTATGTCTCCTGGTGAAAGCATTTGTTCTTCTGGAACTGAGACCTTTAGACTAGTGAAACATGAGGTTGTGCATACAGGAATCTGAAATTTTGCTAGTGGCTCATTGGCTTGCGGTTTATGATGGGCAGATTGCATGGCAATGTGGTGGCCCACGATCAAGTATTCATTCTCTCCAAAAGGCCCAGTAGCAAACCAAGGAGATTAGTTAGCTGCAGATGATGGCAAGGGCTTGTTCCAAATTCCTAAAGGCCTCCGGGGCCTACACTGGACCTGCTGGATTATATGGGCCAAGTGGCCAAACATCTTGCAAAAGCCTGGACCTAGTGCAGAGCCATTTTTGGTCTGGACCCCACTACAAATTGGTGGCTTTGTGTGTCACTTGGTAAATGGACTAGACTACATCAATGTTTTATAGCAGCTCAATTTACAATAGCTAAGCTTCCGAACCAGCCTAGGTGTGCTTCAACCGATGAATGGATAGAGAAAATGTGATACATATACGCAATGAAATATTACTCAGTCATAAAGAAGAATGAAAGTATGGCATTTTCTGCTAAATATGGAACTGGAGATTATCAATCTAAGTGAAATAAGCCAATCCCCCAAAAGTCAAAAGCTGAATGTTCTCTCTGGTATGTGGATGCTAACACAAAATAAGGGGGGGGGGGATAGAAGTTCATGGATTAGACAAAGGGGAATGAAAGGAAGGGAGGGGGATGAGAATAGGAAGGACAATAGAATGGATCAGACATGGCTTTCCTGTGTCCATGTTTGAATACACGACCAGTGAAACTCCACCTCATGTTCAACCACAAGAATGGGATGCTAATTAGAATAAGTTCTACTCCATGTATATACAGAATGTCAAAATGCACTCTACAAAAAAAAAAAAACCCAATAACCCTACCCCAAAAATGAAATGCAGGTTGGCCTAAAACAAGATTCTTCGATTTTGTGGCTTAATATTATTACTAATACCAATAGTGTTTACACTAGTTTGAGTATCTAAAAGCTACCTATTTCAGGTGAAAAGGACTCCTCTCACTATCTTTCCTAAAAAAGGAATAAACTAATCTTTTTTTTTTTTTTGGTTTTAGAAAGTTTGCTTGGAGGCTATTATGGTTTAGATATGAGGTGTCCCCCAAAAGCTCACATGTAAGACTGTGCAAGAATGTTCAGAGGTGAAATGATTAGGTTATGAGGTCTGTAACCTAATATGTATATCTATATACATATGTATATAACCTAATATAGTATATCTATAACCTAATAACCCTGATAGGGGTTCCGTGAATGGCAACTGAAGGCAGGTAAGGTGTGGTTGCAGGAAGTAGGCCACTGGGGCGTGCCTGTGGGGTTTATGTTTTGTCCCTGATGGGAGGAACTCTTTCTTTGTTTTCTGGCTGTAGAGAAAGGGGAAGCTCCTTTCTTTCTTTCTTTCTTTTTAAATTTTTTTGTTTGTTTTAATTAGTTATACGTGACAGTAGAATGCACTTAGATACTTTGATATATCATACATAGATGGGATATAATTTCTCATTTTTCTGATTATACATATTGTGGAATCACATTGGTCATACAGTCACATACATACCTAAAGTAATGATGTCTGTTTCATTCTACTATCTTTCTTATCCCCACATCCCTTGCCTTCCCCTCCTTTCACTTCCCTCTACCTAATCTAGGGTAACGCTATTCTTTTTTTTTTTTTTTGCATTACTATTCTTAGTACACATATATACCACAATTTTTGTATCTCTATTTGTATATAAAGTATGTTGACACCCAATTAAGTCTTCATACATGTACTTTGTATAATGATGTCCATCACATTCCACCATCCTTGCTAGTCCCCTGCCCCCTCCCTTTCCCTCCCACCCCTCTGCCCTATCTAAAATTCATCTATTCCTCCCATGCTCTCCCTCCCTACCCCACTATGGGTCAGCCTCCTTATATCAGAGAAAACATTCGATATTTGTTTTTTGGGGATTGGCTAACTTCACTTAGCATTATGTTCTCTAACGTCATCCATTTACCTGCAAATGCCATGATTTTATTCTCTTTTATTGCTGAGTAAAATTCCATTGTGTATATATGCCTCATTTTTTTAATGCATTCATCCACTGAAGGGCATCTAAGTTGGCTCCACAGTTTAGCTATTGTGAATTGTGCTGCTATAAACATTGATGTGGCTGTGTCCCTGTAGTGTGCTGTTTTTAAGTCCTTTGGGTATAGACTGAGGAGAGGGATAGCTGGGTCAAATGGTGGTTCCATTCCCAGTTTTCCAAGGAACCTCCATACTGCTTTCCAAATTGGCTGCACCAATTTGCAGTCCCACCAGCAGTATATGAGTGTGCCTTTCCCCCACATCCTCACCAATACTTATTGTTGTTTATATTCAACAGCTGCCATTCTGACTGGAGTGAGATGATGCGTCAGAGTGTTTTTGATTTGCATTTCTCTGATTGCTAGAGATGATGAGCATTTTTTCATATGTCCATTTCAGCTGTCCATTTCCCAACGGGTTACGCCCATCTCCTGAGTGACCATGAGAATCTTCCTAACAAAGTGAAGATAAAGGTCATGTGCCTTTGGCAATCTATTAAGGATTGTTCCAAAAGCTAAACCTAAAATCTCCCTGGCTTCGTGTGGAGAGAAGATCCTCCTGTGTTTTTCACAGATGGCTCCCCGCACTGACATATCCAAAAAGTGTGTCCCAGAGTAGATGGCCCTTGAGAGGAGGTCCTCGAGCCACCATTGGCTCTAGTTCCTTGTGTTGTTCTGTTGGTGCAGCTCTTCTGCACACTCCTCCACGACCGACGTACCCTGCCAGGAGCCCTCCCTGTTGAGTTCTCCATTTCTGTGCCAGGCTTCTTGGTTGTTGTGAGGACATGGAGGTCCATGCCAGGGCACTCACACAGATCACCCACTGGGCATTGTCAGTGGGTCTTGCTGAGGATGGAAGCCAGGGCGTCACACATGCCAGGCAAGTGCTCCACCACTGAGCCGCAGCCCCGCCGTCCTACTTGTTTTTGAAGCAGTCAGTAACTACCAGTGTCTTTGGGCAATGTGACTTGAATTCATTCTTAAAAGCTCCTGGAAAGCCATCAGCTGAAAGGAATGCCTGTGCAGACAGTTGATATTTTTTAATTTAATTTTTATTTACTTGGGTTTTTTTGCACTACTTGCTAGAAAAGCTCTCTACCTCAGCCCAACACTATTTCACCTCATAATCATCACAGATTTTATGCCTGTTTTTTTTCTTTTTCTTTTTTTTAAATATTTATTCTTCAATTGCAGTTAGACACAAAACCTTTATTTTATGTATTTTTATGTGGTGCTGAGAATTGAACCCAGGGCCTCGCACGTGCTAGGCGAGCGCTCTACCACTGAGCCACAACCCCAGCCCGCTCCCCCACCCCCGCCTTTTTTAAAATTGTGTTTGTAGTAGTACATGAGCAGAATGACTTCATTTATGTTTATTTTTATATTTTTAATGTGGTGCTAAGGGTGGAACCCAGGGCCTCGCACGTGCAAGGCCAGTGCTCTGCCACTGAGCTACTGCCCCAGCCACTCTTTTCTTTTTTTTTTTCTTGCAAAAAATTGGAGTGTGACCATCATTACAGGTCAGTCTTAAAAACAGCTATTACTTAAAAATTATATTACCAAAGTATCTTTAGTGCAAGGTAAGGATGCAAGGAACACTTGTGAATATGTGTTAAGTACAAACAGAGTCACATCTTTTCTTCTTGACAGTTTAGCAAACATTTTTCCAGTTTGGGGAAAAAATAGTAACACATTAGTTGTTGATTTGAGCATTATAATTGAAGTATTGCTTTTGAAAAAATGTACTGCAGTGTTGTGAAGTACGGACTTTCCCAGTTTACTGTCCTGTGCTTGGAGATTCTGTGCCCCTGTGGCGGTTGCCTTAGGACCCCTCACGTAAGACCCATGCACACACTGCAGCACTCTAAGGGGACCTTGCTGGCAGTGCACCGAAGGCAGATGTCCACCTGCCACTGTTGAACACTTGCTGCTCGGTGCACCTTCTCAGCAGCATTAGGAGCAGAATGGTGTCATGCCATGGTTAGGAAATAAAAGGCTATAGACCAATTTTTGGACTGAAAACAAAAACAGTGCAAGGATTATGTGGTGACGATGACCCTGCAGTGAAAAGTGGTATTTTTAAACTGGAGTTTTTATCATGGCCATGCCACATGACCAGTTCACTCATCCGGAGGGAAGTGCTTCACTTACTCCAGCATTCATATATACAGAGCAGATGAGTTTCAGAATTTGGATCCAAGAGTGGAATGAATTTTATATATTTGATAAAAACCGAAAAAACAGTGGGGACAGTTGTGAAAGTACCAACATGAAGCCAGCTCCAGTTTCCCTGTTAGATGACATGGTAAAGATGGGAACCTGTCTCTGATAGCCAAGTGCCTGACCAAGAGTCCTGGCCACTCTGTGCGTTCTGCAGGCTGCGGGACTGTGTGTCTGCAGCACCTGGATGCAGGGTCTTGTGCTTGCTGTCTCAGGCCCTGAGGACAGTTGGTTTTGAAGGCCGGTCTCGTGCTGTGAGTGAAGGGACAGGGTGAGGTAGCACACGGCCCCTGGCCCCTGCTTCCCTTAGCCTATGTTGGCTTGTTTTTGTGTTTGTTTTGTTTTGTTTTCTAGTGGGAATTGTGGGGATTTGTGCTTTCAGAATTTCAACATTTGGGATTTTATTCTTTCAGGATTGTGATTTTTGGGATTTTGCTCTTTGGGGAATTTAGACTTTTAGGGATTTTATTCTTTGGGACTCTGGTGCTAGGGATCCCATCTGCTTATCTGGTTCTGACCTGCAGTGTCCTCTGGAAGGGCCAGGTGGGAGCAGGTGGGAGCAGGTGGCAGTGAGAGGGCAATATTCTGTCTGCACTGTTGGTCGGGTGGACACGGCTTATGCATCACTTCCTATCTACCTTTGTTCTAGAATTGCCAGTCCCACCATATTTTTTGACTATATGATATTAGGAATAATGGCAACTTGTCTAGAATTTCTTCTTGCTTATGTAAATTAAGGTGGCTTAAGAAAGTTTGCCAGGCAATTGAAGCTATCATCTATAAAAGTACCTATGAAAATAATGCGTGAATTTAGATTAGATCTTGGTTTACATAAACTCAGGTCAGGGGAACAGCTCAGTGGTAGGAAGACAGAGAAGGCAGTCCTGTGGACTTGGGGACAGGGAAAGCTTACTCCATTACCTATTCACTTTATATGGAAGGTGTTTGAGGCTTGCATGGAGCTCTCTAGGCAAGCTCACAGATGGGTATGAGGAAGCATCTGACTAAGTACAGGTAGCATGCTTGGTCGGCTGGCTACGGGGCCACAGCCTGAGAGAGACTGACTGCAAAAGGAGAGAGACAGTGTTCCCAGTGTTCCAGCACTGGGGCCTCTAAGGTGTGTGCGTGGGGGCGGGGGGGGGGCGGGTTAACAGAAGGGAAATGTGGGGAATTTTGGATGCAGCTAGGATAATCCCTTGGGTTTAAGAAATCTATTTTCTAGTCAATCCCCAGAGTTCTTAAAATAAGGTGTTTAGGGTTTAATTGCCAATTCATGTGTTTACAGTTGCAGACAATTCTTGTGAGTATGTGAGTTGGATGTGGTGGCTCCCAAAGGCAGACATGCCTAACTTCACTGTTGCAGATAACAGAGGCCCTGGGGCACACCAGGGCCTGGTGCTCCATTGCAGACGTCACAGGGTGATGGTCGTCAGAGCTGAGCTGGCCACAATGTCCTTTCTCGTGGTTCTTGCCATCACACCAGAGGAATCTCAGACATGCTGCTCAGAGTTGCAGGCACAAGTGTTTTGTAGGGATAAGAGAAAGGGCAAGGGGACACTTGGAAGGGAGAGAATGGGTCTCCTCAGAGAGGAGAAGGATGGTGTACCCCTCCTGCCCTCCAGCTTTGTTGGGGGTCCCAGAGCAGTTTCCAGAGTTTCCCCCAGTCCACCTCCCGCTGACAATAGGACAATATCCGACTTCCAAGTCCCCACTGGGCATGGTAGATGTTCAGGACAACTCTAGGGCACTTTGGATCATGCTGACCAATTCTAGTAGGAAACTGTTCTTATAGATTTTACGGTTTGAGGGAATTATCCTTATCTCCCAAGTTCTGGGACTTGGTCTGTGTAAGGGTCACAATATTCGGCCCCCCATCACCCCCATTGTAACTTGTGTTCTTCTTGTCAACGTTTCAGACCTGTGTTTCTCCTGCAGATAACGCTTGTTTGCTCAGGAATGTAATGCAGCCTATTGACTCAGGCCAGGCAGTGCTGCAGGTAAACTGCTTTTTAAAGAAAGCATGTGGGGGTCAGCACAGGCGGCTGCTTCCTGCTCCCAGGGCTCAAGTCTATCTGTTACTATCACCAGCATCAAGGGGGTGGGGAACAGAAACAAACAACAACAACAACAAGAGAGTGAAAAAAGAAAAGAAAAAAGAAAAGGAAAGGAAACACTAGGGGAACAGCCTTGTCAAGTACCACTTTCTCTGCTTGTGTGTGGCCCCAGGACGCCAGTTTAGAGAAGCCACACCCTGACCGGACCAGCCTGGAGATCAAGGTCCCAGTCAGCACCTGGGGTGGGGCAAGTTTCTCCCCAGACCAGCATTGGGAGGCTGGAGCCACAGCCAGTCCCCAAGGGAAAACAGTGTCAAAACCCCAGTTCCAAACCCCGAAGACTTCTAGGAGAGAAGGAAAGAAAGGAGGGAGGAGGGAGACAAAGAGACACATTTATTTGGTTTCACATCCTGTGGAAGTGGCTGGTGGCAGTCCATGTGTCATGATCAGAGCCCAGGGAGTCACCTCCAGGTGTGGTTAGGTGGTCCAGTTCCGTCCACGAGGGACAGGATGAGTACTGCTGCAGCTCGCTTCCTCCAGGTCATGACCAACCTGTTAACCTTCCATGCCTTTGCACTTCCCCAGGTGTGAGAGGCCACAGGGGGTGGGGAGGAAGTGTAGGTTTTAGTTTGAGGAGACAGGGGAAGATGGAGTCACACAAGGCAGGCTCTGGTCTAAAAGCTAGATCTTAACAACATACGAATTACAAAAGGTGTCTTTTCTTCACCTATGAACTTCCAGAAACCTTTAAAAATTCCCCTTGAGTCTCCCTCATAACTGTTTGACAGAGTCTAGTAAACACCGACTTACAGCTTAAGTGTTGATAATGAAGAGCAATCGAATATGATTTAGAAGATCAAAATAATTTTTCAAAACTGTTATTGAAATAAATTGGTAAGTGTAACATTTATTTAATCTTATTTTGTCTCAAATATGTTTATTTTAACGTGTTATTTAGATGCATGTTTTATACTTTTTTATTCAAAAATATTTGTTTTGAAAATTAAAGTATTTTTCTTAATTTTTTAAAGGAACATCTTAAAGATGTCAAATATGATGATAAACTCTTCTCTCATTTGTCACTTGAATTGTCAGACCGAATACTATCAGCAGTCAAAGAATTTGGGTATCACCGTTATAAGTTCATTATAAAAGTATTATTTATTCAAAAGACCGGTCAAGCAATAAACGTAAGTACCCACAGACCCTGCACCTGCCTTTAGAACTGTGAGGTGTCCCCTCCCGAGGGTCTGGTGTTCACAGTGATGATCCCCAAACACTTCAGGGTCCTGAGGTGCCTCTTCAATGCAAGGATCCTTTTGTTAAATATGCTTTATTTTACTGTGAATTATGTGAAAAGTACTAACCTAGATGTAACATTTTCTATTGATGATTTATTAAATTGTAGAGTTACCCTGTGTCTCAATCATAGCAGCTTAATATCATTTAAGTTAATTAACCAGTAAATTTACTTGAGGTACTAATGTATGTTGGGTACTGAGGAAAATACAAAGAATTATAAGACATGGGCCAGGAGTTCCCAGGAGCTTTTCTCCAGTCAAGGAAATGAAGTGTTCCAGTTTAGAGTCTCAGGAAGCAGTGCCCTGGGTACAGCAAGCACTGCAGGAGCCTGGGCTCCCGGTCCAAGGTGGCCCTGGGGCTGCAGCACCGCAGGCTCAGGACAGATGCCAGCTGGAGCAAGGCTGTGCGTAGCATCACGATGATAGACCACTAGGCCTAGCAAGTCCGAGCCTCCGGGGAACTGGCTGTGAATGTGCAGGAGCTGGTGACAAAAGGGGTGAAAACCTGTGTTTCTGCACCATCTGCAGAGGCTTCATGGGGGGCGGAACTGCATTCTGAAGCACAAGAAGGATGTGGGCAGGTGAAGGCGCTGGCCACGCAGAGCCAGCAACAGAGGCAGTCCTGGCTCCCCAGGGAAGTTCTGCCACAGACAGCACCCAGCACACATGGTGGAGCAACAGGAAGGCCTAGATGGTGTGGAGTACCTAGGAGAGTCGTGGTGGGGTGAAGTGAGGGTACCAGAGGGCTGCTTGGGATTGCCTAGGGAAGGGAAGGTCCTCTGCTGTCCAGATGAGGAGGGGGACAAGCTGTGCCAGAGACCCCTGGGGACAGTCCAAGCTGAGGGCACTTGGAGCCGAGGCAGGATGCCCTTGGGCTGCTTCAGCTTGTGGAGAGCAGTGTGGTGAGGGGACAAGAAGCTCCCCGGGATGTAAGAGTCTGACACAATCGGCAACTGTTCACTGAACCATGGGGCAGCTCAGCCTGAACCAGCTGCAGGTCTCTGGTGACTCTACTGGGCCTGGAAGTCCCAGAGGCCTCCCCAGATGAGAGTGACCATCTTCAGGGGATGGAGCAGGTTTCCTATCTGGCTCTCCAGGAGGCTGAGAGCAGAGAGTGAGACCTCTGGGGGAGTCACACAAGGCCACATTTTGTTCACAGCAGATAACAAGGCCAACTCACACTCAAGGGGTGAAGAAACAGAGTCGACGAAGAATTTATGGCCATTTTAGATCCATTACCGAGAAGCAGGCGTGAGGCTTTGAAAACAGAGAGAAACTGGGATTCCAGGGGGTGCCTGCCTGATGGTATCAGTTGCCTGTTGCTGCTTCTCCAAGGCAGGGTCCTAACAGGCTTTGGATGAAATTCTTCTAAGAGTGGAAAGTAGGATTCCTTACCGTGGTCTGTACTACAGTGGAGTAGGCTACATACAGAGCTGCTGGGTCCCCACTTAGGGCTTCTGACCCTGCCCCAGGACACACTGCACCGCACTGCCAGCCTTCAGAGAGGAGAAAGGGACTGAGCAGCACCACTCTGGGTCTCTTCATGAGAGGGAGATACAGCCTTCTGAGTTGTAGGTGCACTATTAAAAAAAAAAAAAAACTAGTGTGGATTTTAAAATGACTTCTTAATATGCTCAAATTGGTCTTTTAAAAAAATTTCTCTCGCAGATTGCCAGCAGATGGATCTGGGATGTTGCTTGGGACAGCTGGGTAGAAGCGAAACACGAGACGGAGTCTTATGTGGCACTGGCCTTGGTATTTGCTCTTTATTGTGAATAGCTCCTTACATGTACAAAAAAACAGTATTCTCCAACTTTTCAAGAATAAATGAAATGTGTACATTTGTGATCCTCATAGTTCTGATCAGCTACATTCTTTCTTCAATTGAAGCTTAATTGTTTTCTTTTAATGACAAACATGCAAAAGCTAGACATTTACACTTGTGCTTACTGGTTATATTTATTAACATTATATTACCCCAAAGTAGCATAAGAGGTGGGTGTAGGTGCATAGGGAAATATTCATTTACTAGTTTTTTAAAAGAAATTAAGATGCAGTCTTGTAAAACGTCTAATGAAGTAGATATCAAGACACATTTTGGAAACTTGTAAGGGCAGCTTTGCTTTGATGATTTTTTAATATTTTGTATTTGTTCTTTTGAAAGGAAAACCAAGTTGGAAAGAAAGTGTTAATGCAATTAGTTTTTCACCAACTAATAGTTTCCCTCCCCAATCAGAATGCTTACAAACCTGTGGTGCTTTCATCCTTTGTCTGTTAAGCTATTTTTAGATACCAGAACTGAAAAACCTAACATAATTGAAGAAATAGAAACATTTTATTTCCCAAGCCATTCAATCAAGGATCCAGTTCTTTCCTCTTCCTGCTCATCTGTCTGACTTGGTGGGACGTTATCACCTTCCTGTGACACCACCAGGGATGGTTCACTCCTTGGCCTGGGCTGGAGGACAACTTGGGAGGACGGAACAGTGTGAGAAAGTGGTGCCCTGTACCGTGGGGACTCCTCCCGTGGGAAGCACAGAGCGTGCTGGAGGGAAGCAGGCTGAATGTCTGTGCTCATAAGCAGGATTCTGACAGTTACAATCTGAACTAAGAAAAGCCTGTTGGGCTCACTGCCACGAAGAAATGGTGGGAGAGGCTTTCTTTTGTTTTGCTGGATTAGTCCACTGATGAGGAGAGGCCCCGTTGTTGCCTAAAAGCCCTGCCTCTGCACTTTGCTTCATTGGGGATCATACTTTCAAGGTTTGGGGGGTTGTTCCAGATCCAATCATAGTAGCCCATCATTATAATCAATCCTGTAAAAACTCCCCACATTCCTTTGCTCCTCTTCTTTACCTGGGAGAACTGTTCCTGAATGAACCCCATTATCATTATCCAGGCAGCTAAAGTAGACTGAGAACACCCCAAAACCAGACTAGTCTCACTCTATACCAGCTTCAGTAGGCAAACCCCACATGGTACCCTATTGACAGTTCTTTCCTGCCCCTTCGCTCTGACTCTTTTTTTTCTTTAAATTGGAGATGGCCACAACCCCAGCCCCCCCCCCCCCAACTTTTTTTCCCCTCAAACCCTCTGTAGTCCTTTCTTTTATTCACTTTCAGCTAAGGTCTCACTTTGTATTTCATTAAGGAAAGTAAAATCCTTCACTTTTCCCGCCACCAGATCCATAGAGAGCCCTGCAGCTGGATGCTGTCTTCCCTGTGGGTGGGAGGAAGTGCACCCACACCTCTTTAGCATCTCCCCTCTCTGTGACATCAGGCTTTCCCCACCTGTGCTGGGGTTTCTTGGCAGCATGCAAACATGCAGCACCTCACCAGCCACCCTTTCTCTGATACCTTTTTACAGACTTTCAGACTTGTCTTTTTTCTGGCTCCAGTTTCTAGCCTTCTATTGCTCAAGCCTATTCAATCTAGTTTCTGAAACCACAAGTCTACTGAAGTCCAGTTTGCTTAGTTCCAAGTCGTCAACCACAGTGGTCGTTACTTTGTCCTCATTGTGCTCAACTTTGTGATTGACATGGTTGACCAGTCCTTCTTTCTGAAACACTTCTAGGGCTTCCAGTACCTTGAAGGTTAGCTATCTTCCTTCTCCTTCCCCACGTTACTTGGGTTTCTTCCTCACCTCTAGCTATATCTTCCATGTGACCTCATACAGTTTTCTGTTTTTCCCCTCCATTACTGTATTTCCAGTTTCTAACTCAGAGCTTCATTTAGTAAAAGTAAGGCATTATTCGGTGAATGAATGATAACTTCCATCCCCAGCACCTAACATAGTTCTTAGTTCATAGTTGGTAGGCCATGAAAAAAATTTTTTGTGAAATAGTTGGACATTATTATCCTCATTCTACAGTGAGTCAATGGAGGGCCCGAGAGGTAAAATCATTTACCTCTGACTTCACAGACAATAAATGAGTTGTGAGACACATTTCAAATTCTATGTCAACCCTGATGATTTGGTTTGTTTTTTTGTACCAAGGATTGAACTCAGGGGCACTTAACCACTGAGCAGCATCCCCAGCTCTTCTTTATTTTGAGACAGGATCTCACTGAGTTGCTTGGAGCCCCCCTAAATTGCTGAGGGTGGCTTCGAACTCTGGAGCCTCCTGCCTCAGCTTCTGGGATTACAGGCATTTGCCACTGCCATCCGCTCCCCACCCCAACCTTTACTTTTTCCTAGTTGTAAGTTTTCTCCTATCTAAGCTGCCTGTACATACAATTATATGTTTGTATCATTCTCTTTGGAGGGGAAACTGCCCCAGGTGGGGGAGGCAGGCAGCAGGGATCTAATCCTTATGGTGTTTCCTTCATACTTTGTTTTGCAAGGTGAATCAGTATTCATTGGCTTGTAATGATATGTTTTCAATTCATATTTGATCTAGGGAAAGAGTAGAACCAAATAACTGAATACATTTTTTTTTTTAAACTATGAATTTATCCAGAGAATCTAACAGAGGTTCCTCCTGGTCAATGAGGAGAACTTTGGGGAAAGATGCCCTTTCTTTGTGGCAGGTTTCTTTGAGCACGATCTACACACTCTCGGACAGAGCAGTTTTGACTCCATCCTTCTTCCATGGACTTCTGGCTATTTTCTCAGGTGCGTTCTTTGTAGAATCGGAAGCTGGTCTGTAAGAAAGCACACACCAACTGGAATGAAGTTTAAGGGTTATCAACTGTGGGCAAGGCCATCTCCCACAGCATGCAAGTGGGAAAGGCAGGAAAGGACAGGCTGAGGCTAGCTGTATCTCTGCGAAGAGCTGGGGGTCTGCGCCTTCTTTTGGACTTGGTAGGCCATCTGTGAGCGGCTCCCAGGAGAGCAGGCGCTGCGCTCTGGCTCTCGGCCTCTTCGGTAGCCACACACAGGCCCAAGGATGGAGTCCCCTCAGGCCAGGCCAGGGGATCCAGAGGGCCTTGCATGATGGGGGGAGGGGATCCAGTGGGCCTCACACGACCGGGGATGGAGCCCTAGGAGGCCCGTGGACACAGAGTTCCTCGCAGGATTGGGGATGGGCCCCCAGGCAGGACCGGGTTCGTTGCCGCCCCAGCTCTGGCACATCCTTCTGCACCGCCGTGTGCCTGCGCCTAACCGCAGCGCCGAGATCCAGGTGGACTAGGGCGGACCCTGGCTCCCGTCCTCTCCGCACGCCCCCGGCTACCCCTGAGGTGCCCTCCGTGGCGACGCCAGCTACGGTCCCGCGGCGCGGACGCTGGGGCGGGGAGGAACCCAGCAAGGCGTCCTCTGGGTGCCGCCTGGGGCGCCCTCGCCCTTCCGCCCGCCTCTGCAGCGTCGTGAATCACCGCGCAGCGGACAGCAGCGGCCGAGAACAAAGGTGCCTGCAGACTGGCCGGGGGACCGGGGGGCGGGACGCGGGGTGGAGGAGGGGGACCCGGGGCGGGCGGGGGACCTCGAGGGGGAGGGGGCGGACGGAGGCGGGACCGGTGGAGGCGGGGCGCCCGGCGGGGGCGGGGGCGCCGGTGGGGGCGGGGCGGGCGCCCGGCGGGGGAGGGGGCTCCGGTGGGGAGTGGGGAGTGGGGAGCGCGGGCGGCGGGGCGGCTAACGCGCAGAGGGCCTGGCCGGCCGGGCCGGGGGCGGCGGGGAGCGCGGCGGGAGGCGGGGCGGGGCCGGGGGCCGCGGCGGCAGCGGCGGCGGCGGCGGGAGGTGGGGCGGGCGCGGGCCGGGAGAGCGGGCGCGGGAGCGGCGGGAGCGGCGGGAGCGGGCGCGGGCGGCGGGCCGGGGCACAGCGCGGCGGGCCTGCGGGCGCGGCGGCGGGCGTGAGCGGCGGCGGGCGTGAGCGGCGCGGCGCGGGGCCCGCGGCGGCCAGGCGCGCTGGCGGCCATGGCGGTGGCGCTGGCGGGCCGCGGGGCGCGCGGCGGCAGGGGCCGGCCCCCGGGCGGGCGGGCGGAGGGGGCGGGGCCGGGGCGGCGGGCGGCCCGCGCGGCGGCGGCGGCGGCGGCGGCGGCGGCCGGGACCAAGCGGCGGCGGCGGCGGCGGCGGCGGCGCGGGGCCCTGGGGCTGATGGCGGCGGCGGCCGGGCCCGGGGCGGCGCTGTCCCCGCGGCCGTGCGACAGCGACCCGGCCACTCCCGGAGCGCAGTCCCCGAAGGTGAGCAGGCGGCGGCGGGGCCCAACGTCGGCGGCGGGCTGGGGCAGGGCCGCGCCCCGGTGGGGACGGGGGGCGGCGGGCGGCCGGGACGGCGGGCGGAGGCCCCGGGCCCAGGGCGCAGGCCCCCCGCCGCCCGCCCGAGCAACAAGTGCGCGCCGCGGTCCCCGCCGGGGGCGGCGTCCTAGGCCGCGGCCGGGACCCGGGCTGGGGCCGCCGTGGGAGGTGTCGGGAGCGGGACGAGAAGTGGAGAGCTCGGCCGCGGCGAAGGCGGGCGGCGGCCCTGCGCCCGCGGTCCCGGCCGCCCCGCTAACTCCCACCAACTTGGCGCCCTCCCGGGGGCGGGCGGACGCGGCGGTGGAACTCGGAGCCGCCGACAAGAGGAGGAAACCGACGGGAGGAGTGTCGCCGCGCGGACACTTGGCTTCTGGAGTGAGCCCGCGGTGTGGCACCCGGGTGGCCGGCAGGAAGGGCTCTGCAGACTTCGGACTTGGGGGAAGCGGCGGGCTGGGCACGGCCGCCCTCCCGGCAGAGGACCGCAGGTGGCGGCCTGGCGCCTCCGCTGCCCGGGGACCAGCTCTCCGCCGAGACGCCCGCCTGGTCCGAGAGGTCCCTGCACCGTCCTGGGACCCTCCAGGCTACAGGATCACGGCCCTGAAGGAGGATCCGAGGTCGCCGGACCCTCTGGCGCTCGGCCAGCGCCCCCGGAGCGCGCCTCTGCCTCTGGCGTGTCACCTGAAGGGTTTGATGAGAGGAGCTCACTGGATCCAAAGGTGGAGACCACCCATGAACTCTGCCTTGCAAATGTCTCTCTCTACACTCAGGATGCGTTTC